CAAAAACTGAGTTAATTTAAAATATGCCCCCAGAAACTCTTTACTATGAGAAAAGTTAAATTCTGGGGACCAATACCTCACAAAGCCATACGCGGATGATAAATAGTTGATGAAGTTTTTAGAAAGTAGACTTAGCTCGCAGACATGCTTCTTGTGTCCCGTCAGCCGAATACAGACCCAAATTGTTGCTCTGAATAAATTGAAAAGACTTGCCAGATACATATACAATGGCTCTAGTCATGATACTAAGGGTCTCAGTGAGCTAGATGCGATCACAATTGTTAAAACATTTTAAAAATTGATTGAGATTCTCTAATAATGTACATTAATAACATCTAGATCAATCATATCCTTTTGAAAACAGATAAGACAACAAACATATCATATCATATCATACTCTCTTTAAAAGCACGAGTTCAGTAAATTTTTTTGGTAGACAAAAATACCCTTGAAATTCAAATTAATCCATTAGGCTGTGTTTGGCAAGGGGTTAAATGAAGGGTTAAGAGGGTTTAACCCTTCGTTATCCTGCCAAACAGAAAAAAAAGCTCCATGATTAACTAACCTGCACGTGAGGGATAAAACTCCTTTATCCCGTGAATTGAAGGGTTAACAATTCCTCTGAGATCGGCGGAACAAGGCTTATTCCCTCTTCTCTCGCAAGGGTAGGCGGAGGAATTTTTTCTAGATCTCGGCAGCGGAAATTTGGCTACCTCCACGCCGCGTTCGAGTAGAAGCAGTCCTCCGGCAAGTCCTTCGACTACTGCCACTCCCTCCACGCCCACTCCTCCTCCGCCCCCGCCGCCGACGAGCACCAGATCACCGCCTACCTCCCCCAATTCAGTGCGTTGGTCACATCCAGCCCTTCAGCTGCACCCTCGCCATCGACGGATCCTCCCTCCTCCTCCTCGCCTTCTCTGAGAACTCCCCCGACCTCCTCGACCTCGTCCCCCAATCCGTCCTCGTCCTCGACGACGACAAGAGATCCGACCCTCTCACCCTCGGCACCGACGTCCGCTCCCTCTTCACCCCATCCCCCGCCGCCCTCCTCGAGCGTGCTGCCACCGCGCGTGAGATCACCCTCCTAAACCCCATCTAGATCCACTCCAAGCACTCCGGCAAGCCCTTCTACGCCATCGCTCGTTCATCCTTCAAGGCTTTCCTTGAGGTGGCTGTCAAGAGCAGGAGCTTGCCATGGGAGAATGCGGAAATGGACGCTATACATTCACTGCAGCTTATTTTGAGAGATTCACTACCACAAAATAGATATACGCTTCTGAGCCGAGCCTTAAGAGGTATTGTGCTTCTAAGACTTCTTTCATTATGTTTTAAAAAAGAAAACTTAGTTGCTCCACAGTCCCAACCCTTTGATTCCCCCAATATTTGCTTCGGATGAGAACACATGTTGCTCAGAGTGGAATACACAATGCAATCGAGGGTCAGGAGACAGACAAGTATCCATTTGCATTCTTTGATAAGAATGGCAACTTTGTATAGGCATTATTGACGGCAAATGCAAGGACTAAAATTGATGGACATATAATTGGAGCATTTTGTTTCCTATAAATAGCTAGTTCTGAACTGCAGCGGGCTCTTGAAATCCAGAGGCAGCAGGAAAAGAAATGTTTGCAAGAATGAAAGAGCTCGCTTACATTTGTCAAGAGATCAAAAACCCGCTCAGTGGTATTAGATTCACTAACTCATTGCTGGAGATGACAGATTTGTCTGAGATCAGAAGCAGTTTCTTGAGACTATTGCATCTTGCGAGAAGCTAATGATGAAGGTTGTGAGGGATTCTGGCTTGGAAAGCATTGAGAACGGGTAAGGGATTCACTAATTTTTTCGTTTTTGATTAGGTAATTTTTTATAAATCTTCAATAAGGGCGAAAGTGGTATTTTTTAAAAAAATAATGAGATTAATCTCCTTAACCCCTCTTCATTTGCCAAACACAAAAGACTTAACCCCTTGTCTTAACTATCGTATCCAAACGGGTTTAGGATTTTTTTAACCCTTCACGATGGATTAACTAAGTTAACCATTCTCTTTAATCCGTCCTCCTTAACCCTTTGCCAAACAGGGCCTTAAGTAAGAGTAAGTTGATAAATTGATGAATTCTTATTGGATATGCATAGTATGAAGATAAGAATATAGTTTAAATTTAAATATAAACCTAAATAAAATTATTAAATACCAAATTTACAAATGTATACAAGATGAATGACGTATATGCAAAAACCAAACAAATTAGTGAGACAAATAATGTCCACCCCAGAGGTCGAACCCCGAAACAACGCAGATCTACAAATGTACATAATGTGGACGTGGTATTTGCAAAATCCATCAAACAGATTAAAGAGACAAAATCGTTTTGAAATTTATAAAAAAGAAAAATTAAAACGAACGGCTATGATATGAGGACACAACGTGGGGATCTCTCACCAACTAAAATTCAAATAGTTCACGGTACTACATAATTAGTTTTAAAGTTTAATTATACTACTATTATTTAAATAGAACTCTAATTACAAATTACAATTGTTATCCTCTCACATGCAACATCACATACCAATGTTTATAAGCCAAGAAACTACAACAATTTCCGAGCACTTTTATCTCCTTCTACATATATTTGCCTTTATTATTTTCTTTTTATTAAATTAGATTAGATTATTTTAAAGCAATTAATTATATTATATATTTAATTTTTTTCATATCAAGATATATCAACAATTTTCACAACACTTTTATCTATTTTATTCTTATTAGATTAAATTAGATTACTTTAAAGCAAGTTATTATATTGTATATTTGATCTTTTTTCGGATGAGATATTACAATAATTTTTATAGCACTTTTATCTTCTTCAACAAATATGTGACTTTGTTATTTTCTTCTTATTAGATTAGTTTAGATTGTTTAAAAATTATGAAGTATAAAATTGCAACAATTTTCACATCATTTCATCTATTTTCTTCGTATTAGATTAGATTATTTAAAAACAATTACTTATATTGTATGTTTGATCTTTTTCTTCAGATCACAAAGTTTAATTATACTATTATTATTTAAATAGATATTGTTTGTATAAAAATCAAAAAGAATATTACACATATTTTAGATCTCAATGTCAATTATAATATTTACACATGAGTGTTGGTTAAAATAAATTTTATGTATGAACCTAACTTATATAATCCTATTTTAACCTGATTAGATAAGTTATTTTTTTTAACACCCAAACTCTTTCACATACATACATACATACATACATACATACATACATACATAATCCTATTTTAACCTGATTAGATAAGTTATTTTTTTTAACACCCAAACTCTTTCACATACTTATATAATCCTATTTTAACCTGATTAGATAAGTTATTTTTTTTAACACCCAAACTCTTTCACATATCCTATTTTAACCTGATTAGATAAGTTATTTTTTTTAACACCCAAACTCTTTCACATACATTTTTTTTAACACCCAAACTCTTTCACATACATACATACATACATACATACATACATATTATTTTTTTTAACACCCAAACTCTTTCACATACATTTTTTTTAACACCCAAACTCTTTCACATACATACATACATACATACATACATACATACATACACACACACACACACACACACACACATACACACACACACAGACACACATACATACATACATACATACATACATACATACATACATACATACCACAAATATCTTAAAAATGATCAGAAAAAACCACAAACAAAAAGTATATTAATAACATACACACATACATATATATACCACAAATATCTTAAAAATGATTGGGAAAAACCACACAAACAAAAACTATATTAATAACATACACACGCATGCACTCACGCACGCGCGCGCACGCACGCGCGCGCACGCACGCGCGCGCGCGCGCCCGCAAGCGCGCGCCCGCAAGCGCGCGCCCGCAGACACACAAACACACACACACACAGACATACATACATACATACACACATACATACACATACATACATATGACCACAAATATCTTGAAAATGATCGAAGAAAACCATACAAACAAAAACTATATTAATAACCCACACGCACCCATTGTTTTCAAAACCATCATTCTCCATCTCCATCTATTATATATCCACATACCAAATTAAGCTGTTGGAGTTTCCCCTCACCAACCATGTCATTTGTCAACCCTCCTTTTTCTTTTGTACTTAAATTGCATAACATTCATTGCGATGAGAACTCACATGGGTCCTCTGTCTGCCTTGAACATCCAAAAAAATGTACTAAGCCTTATAGTTAATTAATAATGAGATCCCATTATTACAAACAAAATGAGTAAAGATTAATATTTCTTAATAATGTACTATGTTCCCTTATCTTCCATTGCAAACTTGTTAGTTATTTATTCCTAACCCCAAAAGATTTTTAAAATAATCATCTATTTCATAAGTTTTTTTTTAAAATGTTTACCCAAAATTTATAGCAAATGTAACAATCCATATTTATAGAATTTACCTTAAAATAAATCCGCCTTAATTTATGATAAGAAAATAAACAAAAATAATAATTTTGATATTTAACCACATGCATTGCACGTGCACAAAAACTAGTAATTCAAAAACATAACTTAATCAGATTTTTTAAAGAGTTTTTATCCACAATTAACCCCCAAAAAACACACTGTTTATTGAAAAATCAAATCAATAATACAACAACCCACCACATCATTTCCAAATAGGATCACATCATGCATGAACCTGCTCTAAAAGTTTAATAAAGAAAGCTTAAAAACTGAGGTATTTCAACCATGATAACGTCTGTCCAAAATAACTTCGGACACCTTTGCGCTCCTCTATTCTATGCTTCAAGCTTTTAATTAATTAAGCACACTGGCACCCTTTTCCATTGTAGGCGCTCTCACGTGTTCAACTCGTGGTCCCAAAACCCTCCCAAACTCCATTCCCAATGCCCCATTAATTAAACTTGTTAATAAAATCAACAAAATTTCATCAATATTTAATCCAAACACTAATCCAGAAACAAGCATTCAGACAAAGAAAAAGTGTGAGCTCTCTCTTTTTTTGTTTCTTGTACCAATTTCTGGACTACTGTCTTAATACTTACATACACATTAACTTCTCTTTTTGAGCTCAAAAGAAGCTTCCTAAAATCCACAACTCCAGAGCCCAAAAAAGTTCTTGTCTACATTCATTCACATAAACATACTACTCACTACTTCGACAAAAATTAACTTAAAATTGAACCCATGCTTACTTTCTAACCCCAAAAAAGAACTAGCTCCCTCTACATCTACCCCATTGTACTGAAAACTAAGCTTCATACCTGCACAGAGATCACTAGAGTATAGCAGAGCTGCTGGGCTTCCTATCAGGCCCATCCCATGAAGGCCCAGCTGAACCCCCCGGTCCGACGTCAAGCCCGTTGCTGATAGAGTTCATCAGCGCCGACAGCCCGCCGGTTGATGACCCCGCCGGGCCCATCCCTATACCGAGGAGGTCCAATGTCGCCGGTTTTGGCCCGAACAGAGAAGACGGGCCCATCATGAGATCCGGCAGCCCGGCTCCGCTGTCGTACGGCAGGCCCAGCCCTAGCAGCATCGGGGACGGATCTTGCTCGAGCTTGCTCCAGTTCTCTTGGTTGCTGCTGTTGTTGTTGGCAGAGGACGATGAGGATGACGGGGCCAGCCCTAGGCCTCGGAGGAACGAGGGAGTGGTGGGCGCCGCCGCCATTTGCGCGGCCTTCTGTAGCAATGCGGTGGCTGACATGTGAGGGACGGAGGCGGCGGCGGAGCGGCGAATTGGTGGGTGCCGACGCAACCGGACGGAGGCGAGAAGATCGACGAGTTGGTGGAGAGAGGGGAAGTGGGCTCGGGCGGTTCATTGATCCGATGAGCTCGGTGAAGTTGGCGCTGCTTGGGTTAGAGCCGCAGAGGCCGAGGCCGTGGCGAGGAGAAAAGGCTGCGAAAAGCGTTGCCGTGTTTCCAGTGCTGGTCGTAGCAGCCGCGAGCGTCATGCTGCTAGCGCTGATGGCGCGGCTCGGTGCGGCGCCAACGCACTGTAGCATTCCGGCGGATTTCTCCGGCTCTGTAGTTGGAGAGGGAAGGAGAACATAAAAAATAATTATGATTGAAAAAAGTAAGTTCTGAGTGGGAAATAAAAAAGATGGGCAATGATGGGTTCGATGTTGAGATTGGGGGCAAATGGGTAAAGCTTTTTCGATTCATCCCAATCTCTCTCGATTGGGACGATGATAAGGAAAGGAGGGAATAGAAAAGTTAAGATCAGTGACCAAGCTTTTTACAAAAAAAAAAAAGACAAACCGCCCAAATCCCAAATCATCTCCCTCTCTCTCTCTCTCTCTTTCTTCAATCTCCAACTTTGATCCTATTCATCACAGCAATAATTCATTCATTCATTCCCTCTCTCTCTCTCCCTTCCCTCTTTCTTCATGTGTGAAGAATGGACAAAATCAACCAACATCTTCTTTACCTCCACACCATTCCCCTTTTTTATTGATTGCATCGAGACCCGGATCCGACAAAAAACGTTACGGTATCCAGAACGGGACGAATTAATGAGATTTAATTCGAACTCTAATGCGTCCAAAAAAATACACCCAAAATGACAATAAAAATTAAAAAAAACAAACCTTCACTTTCCGGCGGCGGTATTGACTGAATCGGAAACTCCACCTCCGCAGCCGCAGCCGTCACTCCTCACACTGTGCGCTTTCGCGCTCTCCTCCGCCAGCGCATCGCAAAACGCCCTGTGCGTAATAAAACTGTCCCTCCTGTAATTTAAAAAAAAAATCATAAAAGAAAACACGAAATTATCTTAAACACGAACAAGAAGAGATTGTAGTTTCACCGAGAGAAGAGGGTTCCGCAATCGCAGCGATACTCCCTCGTTCCGCAGGTCTTCGAGTGGGCTTTCCAGTCGGACTGGACGGCGTACTTCTTCGAGCACTTGTCGCACTTCCACTTCTTCTCGCCGTGCTTCCGGCAAAAGTGCTTCTTGATTCCGGTGAGATCGCCGAGGGCTCTCGATGGATCGTGGTGGACGCAGCTCAGCTCGGGGCAGACGTAGACTCTCTTTTTGACTTCTTTGCCGGTTCTTTGCCTTAGCTTCCACGGCAAGTTATGGCCCCTCCGATGGAGTTGCAGGTTCTGGTCCCGCTGAAACCCTTTGTTGCAGATCTCGCACACGAATCGGTTGGTCGCCATTAGGGTTTTCGGTGAGAGCGCGATCACTTCAGCGTTCGGATCTAATTACGAAGTGGGGAGGAGAAAATATTTATATATGTATATCAAAGAACTGATTTTTCGGTAAAAGCAAGAGGTTTTTGTTGAATTTACCTGGCATTCCGGGGAGATTCCGCTTCTTTTTGACAGGGACAGCGCCCGGCGGGGGAGGGGGGCTGCTGGCCGCCGGAGGAGACGCTGGCCTCGCCGGAGGCGGAGTTGGAGGCAGTCATCGCCGATGAGTTCTCTAATTCTGTCGGCATCTCTTTGCGAAAACTTCAGCTTTCTTTACTCTCTCTATAAGTAGGTAGCTTCTAGCGTCTTAATTGCTCCAACAACCAGTCTACTGGCTCAAAAAAAGAAGCTATCTTGGAGCTGGCAATATGGCGGGTTGATCGGGAGACGATCGGAATCGGAATCTTAGCGTCGGATTGCTACCGTCGGCTTCGGACCTCGGAGAAATCTCAACTTTCAGCCATTTTCAGCGGTTTGAACAAGCCTCCAGAGCGCTACGAGATCCGATACCGAAACGCGAGGGCCACGGCGGATATTATGAGAGAGAGAGAGAGAGAAGAGAGAGACGGAGAAAGGAGGGGGGCGGGTTTTAACCGAGAGGTGTTAACTAGGGTTAGGACAGTGACCCGAGGTTTGAGGTTGGTTGGGTAGGAGGATCAGGACCGTACACGTGGCGGAAGATGCGGAGGGAGGGAGGGTTTGGCATCTGTCCTCTGGGGGTCAGGGGTAAGTGGCGAGCTTCCGTTTCTTGTCGTGTAGTGCTCGGCCTTACGCGGTCTGACCCCTTCTTTCTTTTTTAAAGCCGGAGGGGGGATCTTGTTTCTTTTTTCCCCCCCGCCCCGGTTATAAAATAATAGTGACGAGGGAGTGAGGTGTCATTTTCACCGTCTGACTGTGAAATGTCGGGTAGATCACGCGGAACACAGTGCAGCGGAAGCAGCGAGTGATGGGATTACACGTACTTCACTGTGGAACCTTTGTGGCTGGCACTCTTTTTTCGCAGCATTTTTTCTTTCTTGGGTATTGTATATTCTTTCAAGGCTCAATACAATTCATACATGTGCTTTTGGGGTTAAATTTGTGACGCGTTTTTCGACTTCACGATTATCTATCACCAATTACACGTCTCGTTAACTATCATTACACTTTACTTTGAATTCTCAAGTGAAAACATAGTTTAAAACTTTTAATTCACACGGTCATCAACATATTTGGCGATATGCAAAATGTGTATTTCCTGTAAAATTTCTCAATGAACAAATCAGAATGCTCTAAAATAAAATTAAAAATTGCAAAAAATGAGATTAAAAATATTTTCAGCCGAGACCAAGTTTAGTTAGTTTTCAAGAAATATAGGAAATGAATTTCAACAGATTTTTTTTTTTTCCAATTTTCATAACTTATCATGTAATGAAAAAAATTTCACTTGCAAAAGGAAAGGTGGACATTGATTTCTATACAATTTTATTGCTTTGATAGATACTCCAAACTAGGAACCTAACCTATAGGATTAGGAAATGAGAAGAGAAAGGGATTGATCGATTACACTTTTATATTTTAAACCCCTTCCATAAAAATATTATCCCAAAATGCTCATTTTCCAGCATTATCCGAGCTAAAAATGCCAAATAGGTTTCCAATAAAGTCTCTCGTTTAAGGAACCTATTTCCCTAAAGTTAGTGTACTGCGGTGGAGTGAATAAACAGAAATTTGCAAAAACCATTTTCCATGGTGTCCACTCCTAACCAAACAGTCACTCATGCATAGGGGTGCATTTGGTTCGGATATGACTCTTATCATAACCATAACTACTTTCTGAAAACGGAAACGGATACGGTTCGGATATTAGAGGTTCAGATACGGTTTGGATACGGATACTAATCGAATATTTGGGAAATAGATATGAATAGGATATGGCAAAAGATACATATGATTTTAATAACTCGCAAAGTAAGACAAGTTACCTCAAGACTTTGTTGCTATTCTGCATGACAAACCTAAGAACACCATAGTAGGCCCTAAACAAAAAATATTAAATATTAAATATCATAACTAAAATGTGATAATCCACAACTACAACTGACCTTACAAACTACAACTTACCTTAAATGAACCATTTGATGTCCATATGAAGTCATTCTCTCTTTGATTCGTAGAGTCTGTGTCATTCTTATGGCAATAAAGTCACAATGTTATTGACAAAAAAATACGCAATGATCAATGAAAAATCCACGATGAGGATCCACAATTTCCAACCAAATCATGATAATATGTCGTCATGGATTTCGAAACAACAAATTAATGATATGTTATAGGAGATTGTTTGATTTTGAAACAAAAGAATATAATGATGCAAATTACAAATTAGTGCTTTTATAATAAAAATTTTAGGGCTTAGGGTTTTAAATTCACCTTGAGGAGGAGGAGAAGAGGTCGGACGTGATCGATGGTCGTCGTCGTGTCGATCAACATAAGGCGGCCACGGACTTCTTGAAGAGGCAGAGGCGGAAAGTAGGCTGAGGCGGAGAAGCGAGCCGTGACGCATAAGCGGAGCGTGACGTGGCCAGCGGTGGTGGAGGCGGATGCGGAGTGGCAGTGGAGGCGGAGCGGGACGCGACCGCAGTTGAGGAGGAGAGGGACGCCGGGTAGCGCAGAGCGCAGAGGCGGAGAGGGAGGCGGAGACGCAGGGTCGGCACACGACAGGAGTAGGAGGCGGCTTGGAGGTGGACTGGTGGAGGCTGGGTGGGATTTGGAAAGAGAAATTAGGGTTTGAACTTTGAAACTTTGAAGATATGGGTTTGGGTTTAAGTTGGATCGGGTTGCAGATAGTATATGTTATGGACCCGACCCAATACAAGTGTTACATATAGCCCATTTCAAAGATGTGGATATCCGGACCGTATCTGCAATTCGACCGGATAACCGTATCCGGATAGAAAACCTAAATCGTAATCGTATCCGTAACCGTATCCAAAACCATATCCGACCGGTTCCAATTTTCCCTATCATATCCGCTTTCTAAACCGATACGGTTGCAGTCAGTCTGGATAAATCCAGACCACTTTGCACCCCTACTCAGGCATATGTGAATTTAACATATTGTTAGTTTTAATCACCCAAATACCATAAAGCCTCATCTTAAGCGAATATATTTTTTGAATAATCCAAAATAGGGGAAGATTAGTCAATGATCTTTTTGTTAGCGTGGAAATTTCACAAAACCCCCTCTTAAAATTTATCGATGTTGAGATCATCTTCCTAAACTTTTAAAATGTTAGATAACCCCTTAAATTTGCGGTGTTTCAAAAAATCTCATATTTTAAAATGTTTTTTTGACTAACCCTAGTGGTGTTTTTGAAATGGGGAAAAAGACAAATATCATTTTCAAATTAACAATATAACTGTTAGATTATTTACTGTAATTAAGTTTGGTAAATTTTAACCCTATATCATGCAAAGTTAAGAGGTTATGTACATTTTACTCTTGAAATTACAAAAAAGAACATGAAACGCTTTTTTTCTTTTCCATCAAGTATAGTTTACTTATCTGGACACACGTGATTTTCATGTGTGTAACCAAATGTAGCAAGCTTAGTTAGGGATTATCGGACATAACTTGAGTCAGATTAGTAATATTTTTCATGTTACGGTAGTTATCTTTAGATCGGCCAAACTTAATGGAGGATATTTGTGAAACGTACCCAAAAACCTTCTTAAGTCCTTTATCACTGTTAATCTGGACAATAAAAAAATTGGAAAGGGCTAAGACAGATTAATTAAATAAGATGTGGAAGAATAACATATATATAAATCAGATAATTAAAAAATTTTCTCTGCACCAAAGGAAGTCATGTTTCTCTTAGATCGCTGATAGGTTGCAAACAATTACGGTCAAAAGAGAAATAATCTAAGGGGCTGTTTGTTTCACCATTTTTATGGAAAAAGAATAGGATATTGGTCTAACAATGACAAAACTGTAAATAAATGATTCTTTATGAATCATATTCTTGAGTTTGGTTCACCAAAAATTTATAGATTTCAGAATCTATAAAGTTGAAAAAATATGCTGATTTTATAGAAATCTAAATACTAATGACTTAGGCGGATTTAGGGTAGAAAATTGACGCATTTGTACTATTCTCGCTCTTTTTTTTTCGAATTCCGTTTCTTAACAAACGCTATATTATTATGAGACCAAATCCTATTATCATTCCAAGTCAAAGTAAAGAATAAGAATTTGAGGGTTTCTATAAAGTTGAATTTTATTTTTTTCATTTTATGAAACAAACATAGAAATAAAAAAAAGGATTTAATGACAATATAAATTTGTCTTAAATTTTTTTATGGATTAGCTAGGAATCCATAAAAAATATGGGATTCCTAATCCTATTATTGCTCACTATTGAACCAATCACCCCCTAAATACTAAAGAAGCTATACTTATTTATCAAATTGTCACCAACCATCAGTTGCTAGCGTGGGTTGTCTTCATACACATTTTCACTTTGGAATTAGGATCATTGTCATCACAAATAATTATTATATCCATATACTTGTTGTTTATTATTATTGCTAGTTATTTATTCATGTTTATCACTAGGTTTCTTTTTGAGCGAAGTGGGCTGGTAGGTTCATTAAGCCCAAATCCCTCTTAGAAATTAGCAAATGAAAAACTTAATAAATTAAGAAGATAATAATAATAATAATAATAATAATAATAATGCCTAACACAAGCCATAAAATTACATCCCACTATCTAAGGGGCTGTTTGTTTCACCCTTTTATAGAATAGGATTAGTATTTGGGCTCTGACAGTGGCATTTTCGTAATTTTTGGATTCTTTGTGAATCCTATTCTGGAGTTTGGCTCAGCAAAAATTTTGGGATTACAATTTCTATAAAGTAGCTACAGTTGTCGTTTTTTATAGAAACCCAAATCCGAGCTTTGGGTTCGGATTTGGGCGAGATTTCTGACAGTGAGCTATGTCGTCGATTCTGATTCCTCATCTTCACGATTTCGATCCCTAGATCTGGAATCGCTGTGTCGCTCCCGCCTCAATCGCCCTCTTCTTCGCGCCTCTGCTCCCGCGCTTCGTCTTCTTCAACTTGGGTTCGGGCCTCTTTCTCGAAACCCTAGCTCTGTTTTCCACGAGCTTGTTGGTGGGTTTCTTGCCTTCGATTCTTGGTGATCCCTTCTGGTTGGGATCTTCTTCAACTTGGGTTCGGGCCTCTTTCTCGATCTTGTTCTGGTTGGAGTGTGGCTACGGTGTTTTCTTTGACGTCGGTGGGTTTTTTGCTTGAACGTCGGCATTTCCCCCCTCTGCAGTAAGGTATAAAAATTTCCCCCTCTTACTTTGGCTTATTTTTCCAGTGATTTGAGGAATTAAATTTAATTTTGAAGCATATGAGAAATAGAGGCACACAGCAATTTCTTTCATAATATGTTTCAAATCAGTCTTTTAATAACTTAAATTGCTGTTTTTTTTTTACTTTATTTTATTTTTTTGTGTGCGTGTAAATTATTAGTAATCTAACCATATAGTTTGTTTGTTTTGGGTCTATCTTGCTTGTTTAGAATTGTGTGAGATGGAATGCAACATTAGTTAAAATAATTTATTATTGCAATTAGATTTCTTGCTTTAAAAGAAATAAATATTTGTATCAATTATCTACTTAATTTTGACAAGAAATAAGTAGCCATCTTAAGCTGTAACTGTATGATAATTTTAAAACGGTTGTAGATGGATATGGAAGATGAGGAAGAATTGAAGAGGATGTGTGCTAATACAGCTGTCTGCGCCGTGGTCACTTTGGTAACATGTATTTTGAGAATGCGTGCTAAGCGCAAGAGAATACCAAATTGTTCGCCGCAAGAAAGGGTCAGGAAAATAAGTTGTAGAGAGGCTCATTTCAGACGTGTATTGGAGGGCTATCAAGATAGCTGCCAATCTTATATTAGAATGAGACCGAGGGCCTTTTTTAAACTTGTTGAAGTAATGAAAGCAAACGGTTTATTAAAAGATACGAGACACGTTCAAGTTGAAGAACAACTTGCTATGTTCTTGAGTATTATTGGGCACAAAACTAAAAATAGAATAATAAGAACTGAGTTCATAAGATCAGGGGAAACAGTTAGCAGGTATTTCAATAAAGTCTTGTCTGCAATGAATGGATTACGTGATCGGTACATGAAGCAAGCCCCAAAAGAAGTTCCCGAGGAGATTGCAAACAACTCAAATTATTTTCCGTACTTTAAGGTAAATTAAATACATACAACTTAATAATTTTCCAAATAAACTTTTTTTTATTTAACTATGTATAATTTATAATTTTTTATAGGACTGCATTGGTTTGATAGATGGCACACACGTCGACGCGGTGTTACCTAGTGACCTAGTTGCACGGTTTAGAGGGCGAAAAGGGGTCACCCAAAACATCTTAGCAGCCTGCACCCCCAATAAACTATTTACTTATGTCTTGGCTGGCTGGGAGGGGGCAGCAAATGATTATAGGGTATTACAAGACGCCCTGTCCAGGCCACAGTCTTACGGACTCCGAGTTTACGATGGTATTCATTCTCACTTGTGCACATTATGAATAATTTATTAAATACTTGGCAATATTTGAGATTTTAAAATACTGTTTAATTAATGTAGGTAAATATTACCTATGTAAAATACTGTTTAATTAATGTAGGTAAATATTACCTATGTGACGCTGGATACACCACAATGCCAGGTTTCATATCCCCGTATCGCGGTGTCCGATATCATTTAAAAGAGCACACCGGTAGGACACCAAAGAATAGGAAGGAGTTGTTCAATTTAAGGCATTCATCTTTAAGATCAAAAATTGAGTGCACATTTGGGATACTGAAGAATCGGTTTAAAATTCTTGCGGGGAAGCCGAATTATCCATTTCCCACTCAAGTGGACATTGTACTAGCGTGTACTGTGTTGCACAACTTTATTGCCTTGGAGGATCCGGATGATGATATTTTAAATGAAAATGTTGAAATTGATGAAGATACTGGGGAAGAGACAAATGAGGACGATTCAAATGTGATGGACTATACTCAAAGTAGGACACAAAGAGAGGATCGAGATGTTAGAAATGAATGGAAGGAGTTACGAGATCAAATTGCTTGGGCGATGTGGGTGGATTATTGTGCAAAGTACAATGGTGGTAACACAATGGAGAGCGGTTTAACTTAGTGTAGTATTTGTCCTATGGCTATGTAATAACTTGGTGAATTTTAAAATACTGTTCGCATCGATATTGTTTAATGTTTCTTTGCTTGTAACAAACCATTACTACTTTTATCACTTGCTATTTTGTTATGTTGTTTGAACTAGAAATATCATCGTTTACTATATTCCCTGCTAAATGCATACATATCCCATATTCTATAAATTTCTTTATTGTTAATATGGCTATGCTTACAAAATATATTAGGTATGGCTAACAATCCGGCAGATAAGCAAAGCGGGCCTTCTCATTCGAATGCAATGCCAAGTCCTACATCAGGGATTAACATGAACTACATGCCTGTTCGACCACAGCCATTCACCTCACCTCAACATGAACTACATGCCTGTTCGACCACAGCCATTCACCTCACCTCCGCATACTTTCTCACCATTCCCACTATGGGATGGTAATTATGGTGGGATGACACAGCCACCAATGTCATACATGAGCTTGTTAGGCAGTCCACAAGGTTTGATGTTTCCCACAGCCAGTTCTCAAAGTAGTGGACCTAATCAATTTTCACCAAACACCGGTGATTCAGTTGGAAAGGATATTCATGACGTTGATGGTGCGGAGCACACTTCGCCATTGAAAAGAGGGAAAAGAGTAGCACACAAAAAAAAGTTCCGTGTACCAGGTTGAACTCAAGAGGCGTGGCTAATAAGTTTTGGCTTCCAGAGCACGATGATGTGCTTATTCCTTATCTTGCAGATTTAGCATTGGATGGCATGAAGCCAGACAAGAACTTCAAGGCTGAAGCTTATAAAATGGCTGCCATGAAAATCAACATGTAATTCAGGACTGATTTCACTCACATGCATGTCATTAACCACTTGAAATGTTTGCGGAACAAATTCAATGACATGAAAGCTTGCCTTGATATAAGTGGTGCTGGGTGGGATGAAACAAGTAAAATGATTACATTGGATGAGGAAACCTTGAAATCTTGGGCCCAGGTATAACAAATTCAGCATCTATATTGTCACCAAAATTTAATACATTTGATTCACTACTTATAAGTATTTGTTATTGCAGGACAAATCCAATTCTAAGTACAAAGCGTACATAAACAAACCCCTTCCTCACTTCAAAAATTTACAAGTTATCATGGGTGATGATCAAGCCAAGGGTGATTTTGTTAGACCCGTGTACGCTAACATTAGGTCTAGCAGGTCCATACCTATCCCCGATGATGATTGCGAGATTCTAGAGGAGAGTGAAGCTGAACCACAGTCTGATGCTTGCAACCAACCACGTTCTGGTGCTGTTAACCAACCACAACCCACTAGATATAAGACTAAGAGTAAAGACAACACGACTTCATCATCTAACAAAAAAACCAGAAAATCTAATCGTGAAGAGGAAATGCTATGTGCCTTTGTTGAGTCCATGTCTCAGTCAATGAGAAATCAACACGTTATACACTGGACTGAGCAGTTGGCCACAGCGTTGAAGGAACATAGGTCTGAATATTCCGAGGAGTTCCTCGATAGGGTTTTAGACCATTTATATGACAATGAACGTGAAGCTAGGAGGTTTTTCATAAAATCCAAGGAACTTTGTGCAGCATTTGCTGCTGCTGCTGGTTGCTTTGTGCAGCATTTGCTGCTGCTGCTGGTTGCTTTGTGCAGCATTTGCTGCTGCTGGTTGCTGGTTTGTGCCTGTTTTGAGTTTTCTGCAGCAGTTGCTGCTGCTGGTTGCTTTGTGCAGCATTTGCTGCTGCTGGTTGCTGGTTTGTGCCTGTTTTGAGTTTTCTGCAGCAGTTGCTGCTGCTGGTTGCTTTGTGCAGCATTTGCTGCTGCTGGTTGCTGGTTTGTGCCTGTTTTGAGTTTTCTGCAGCAGTTGCTACTGCTGGTTGCTTTATGCAGCATTTGCTGCTACTGCTGGTTGCTTTGTGCAGCATTTGCTGCTGCTGGTTGCTGGTTTGTGCCTGTTTTGAGTTTTCTGCATTAAGAGCTTGTGTAGCTCGTGGTTGCATTTTGTGTTGCTGTTTTGGTTTTCCTTGCCTGTGGGTTACTTGCTGTTTTGGTTTGCCTTGCCTGTGGTTTTCCTTGCACTTGATATGTGGCAATGATGATGATCAGCGTTTACTGAGAATGCAATCTAACTTACATTGTTTATTATATCCAGATGAGGCAAAAGGGGATGACATTGCAGCCTACATTGAATTGACAATGTCTAGGCGAGGCAATTCATCCTTATAATGCAATCTGTAATAAACATGTTTAAGTTATAGGTGGGGCAATCAATGATGACAAGTTGATCTATTACTGAGCCATACAATATCAATTAGAATTTGTACCCAGTTCAAACAACAGTTTTCATTACATCCTCAGTAGTTTTTGCAAGTACAGGTACATGACATGAAGTTTGTAATAATTAAAATAACACAAAAAATTGCTAAGAAAATTGCAGAAATTTTCCAAATTAGTAGTTGATTTTCGACAAGTCTCAATTCTTTCTTCAGCTTCTTTGATTGCAAATTATAATTTTCTCCGTACCTATTTTCTTTGACATATTGGCTTCCTTGGTTGCTTGATGACTCTCCTCTTTCTTCAGCCCATTCGAAAAAATTACATTCTTTATTTGGGAATTTTGCACACCCCCAATAACACCTACCCTTATTTTTACCATTCTTGCACACTTTCATCGGTGTTCGGAGATGGCAGTCGCAATAAACTTCATAATCCTGCCAGCACTCTTCTGATATCATTTTCATGTCGGGACAGCAAATTGAAGACAATGGGGATTTTATAAATGCTGAAATTGAGAATGTTTGGATTAATTGTGAGGCCTCAAGGTGAATTTATAGCCACCATGTTCCACTTCTAGCCGTTGCTACAGTGTTCTGACTAAGAATTTTAAAATCTGAATTTTTTGAGGCTGAAAAGAGCCGTTGCTACAGTGATTCCAGCTCAAAATATGAAATTATGCCTCTTCTAGCCGTTGCTACAGGAATATCTAAATTGATAAAGGGGCTGCTGTTGCTACAGTGTTTATTCCCAAAAAAAAGAGACTTTTTGAAGCAAACATGGTATTAGGAATTGATTCCAATTCTATAAATGTTAGATTCCTAATCCTTTGGGAGAAACAAACATAGAATGCCAAAAAAATAGGATTCCATAAAACTTCAACTTGTCTATAAAAATTTTATGGATTAGGTTGGAATACATAAATAAAATAGGATTCCTAATCCTATTCCTACACTCTATTGAACCAAACAGCCCCTAAGTGTCAGTTGCAGCTTGCAGCTGTAGTAATTGTTATCGCATTGAGGCTAAAAGACCAATTTGGATACTAGGCGCTCATACTCAAATTGGCTCCCGTATTATTATTTTCTCAACTTAATTTTTGTACTGGGACTTCATATTTAAATTGGTACTCTTATATTATTTTTTCTCAATTTTATTTATGTATTAGGGCTTTATATTCAAATTGGCCCCCTTGCTGTATTTTAACTTTCAACGTTATGTGATAAACACCTAATAAGTTTCGACATCACACTAAATCCATAAAGAACTTTCAAAAACCCACAAAAACTTTCGAAATTGCACTATACCCCTAATAACTTTCACAGAAAATCCTCAAAGTTAATATAACTATATCTGGCGTGGCACATTCAACTCACTCTTAAAAAGACAAAAATACCACTTAAATTATTTAAAAAAATCATTTATGACATTTTTATATTTTCAATCCTAAAAATAGAAATGTCTTACGTTTTGTGATTCGGTTTCCTCTTCTTCGCTTAAGCTAGGTTTAGGAGCCCTAATTATTTTTTCTTTTGCCGAAATTGTACTTCAATGCACCTTTTTATGTTGTTTCTTTGCTCTAATTTATGGGGGTTATATGCAAAATGGGAAAACTTAGAGGAATCTTTCGGCAATTCCAATATTTATAGGGTTTAGTGTGGTTTGGAAGTTATTGCGGATTTAATGCGATTTTGAAAGTTGTTGGGGTGTAGGGTGATTTTTGAAAGTTCTGGGAGAGTTTAGTGTGATGTTAAAAGTCCTTGGGAGTTTACTGCAAAACATTGAAAGTTAAAATAAAGCAGGGGAACCATTTTGAGTGTGAAGCCCTAGCACAGGAATTAAGTTGAGAAAAAAAATAAAGTTGGGGTGGGGTTGGACAGGGCGGTGGAGCTCGCTCGGGCTTGTGATCTATCGCGGGCCTGCCGCAGGGGCATGAAGTACGTTCGGCACCGCGCTAGGGTACGCGAATCGGGGACGTGATGAGCAAGCTCTGCGCCAGCTCGAGGGCGTGTTGAGGCACGTCCGGGGCCGCGTGACGAACTTTGAGTTAGCGAAGTCTAGCACAGGACAAAGTCGCAGCCCAACAAAAAAAGGTAGGGGGAACTATCTTTAGGTATGAAACCACATACAGGGACCAAGTTGTGAAAGGAAAAAAAAAAGTACGAGGACCACTTTGAGTATGAAAGTCCTGGTACAGAGACCAAGTTGGTCTTTTAGCCCAGTTGCAATTGCAACTATTTGTTTCAAATTTAGAAGTTTGTATTTACAAATAGTTATATTTATGGGCTAAATTACCAAGTTAGTATTTTAAGTTGACTATATTTTTCAATATGGTATTCATTTGGGCTCTGACATTTTGACATTTTAACTTGGTATTTTCAGCGATAATGCCCTTTTTCTCAACAACACCTAGAATTTCGGGGAACTTTAATATTTTATGGGAATTTTTTTCTATTCTCCTGATATCACAAAGTTATTAAATCTACACACTTCTTCTCCTTCAACCTCCCTCTAATTCAAATTTCTTTCGCCCTTTTATCCAATAAGACTTTCCTTCATCCTCTTTTTCTCTCTCACCAACAGAGCCCCCTCATTCTCCTTAAACCTCTCCTAGTTCAAACCAAAACTCGAATCTGATTCCAACAATCTTCATTTAAGCCGATACCAATTTGGTGGAAGAAAATTTTCCATTTTTTTTATATAGCTTGCTAGAGATCTAAG